GCAAGCCAGCAGAGATCATTTAGGAAATCAGGATGTAAAATCTGGCTGCCAGTTTGCCGATTGGCAACTAGCAGAGGTGCTTTGCGACAAACAGGCAAACAGGCTAGCAGAAACCATTTGGGAAACAGGAATCGCTAAACTAACTGACAGAATGGCAGGCTAGCAGAGATTCTTTGAGGAATGGACGCCGGTAAATTTTCATTGTTAGGTTGCGCTACCGTAAGCCAAAAAAAAAACCCGAAGAAACACGAGAATTTGGGAGGGCTTTTAAGGTTGTGAATTCCGTTGTGAGGAGAGAGAGAGAGAGAGGGAGAGAGCGAGAGAGCGAAGGCGTGGGATAAAGCAGAATTCAGCCGGGGTGTCCGGTGGATTGGAATGGAATGTCGACAATTAAGTGGTCGACCAGGGGGGAATTCGCCACGAAATCGAAGAACCATCTAAATTTAGGGTCCAAAAATGGATGCAGTGACGAATTTTGGAAAATTTAGATCCCAAATGGTCCCTGCCAGCCGGCCATTCATCAAACTTGCAGCCAGTATAGCGATTTTCAGTTCCTAAATTCTCTCAGCCAGCTTTCCGAGGCTTAAATGATCTCGGCTAGCTTGCCATTTGCTAATCTGGCACCCGTTTTAGCTATTTTCGATTGATAAATGGTCTCTGCCAGCCTCTCCGCCCCAAAATTCTCCAAACTGCCACCCAGTCTGCCGATTCCGCAAATCGACTCTGCTAGCCTGCCCTGGTACCCGAAGAAATCCCTGCTAGTTTGCCTGGGCGATCTGACTGCCGGACAACCGATTACGACATAGAAAAGGGTCTTTACTAGCTAGAGAGAGAAAGAGAGAGACGGCAAGCTAGCAGAGACAATCTAGGAAAGGAAATTGCCGGCCAAAATATCCTTCAAAATGGCGGGGGTCGACCTTTCGTATAGTTCGACCCATTTCGGCTACTTTCCAAAGGACGGAATTACGCGGAATTAGGTGTGTCACGTAGTCGAGTCGGCTCTCTTCCAACTATACGCCCCCACCACTCCGCCTAAATTCAATTCGAGCGTATTTCGTATGTTTTCCGGGCGGCGACTCTTGACGGTTTGGTTTTGTCTGCGGAAATTACGAAGCGTAGGCTAGCAGAGAACATTTGGGATGGGGATCGCTAGATTGGCTGACAGTTTACGTAATGACAACTAGCAAGGACCGTTTGGAAATCCGGGAAGGCTAACAAACACCATTTAGGTAACGAGAATCAATAGTCTAGATGAAAGTTTGGGCAATGGCACCCAGCAAAGACCGTTTGGGAGTCGGGAAGACTAGAAAATACCATTTGGGATTGGGAAGCGCTAGACTGACTAACAGTTTACGCAATCGCAACTAGCGGGGATCACTGCGAGGAAGGGCATCCTGGCAGAGATCATTTGTGAGTGGCCAGAGTAGCTGATGGTCAGCTTGCAGAGGTTCTTGGCGAATCTGGAGCAACGTACCCGAGACAATTTGGCAATCGTCAAAATGGGCAGCAAAGCGCGATTTTTAGTTGACAAACCAGCAAACACCATTTGGGGAAACTTCAATTGACAGCCTCGCAGCCAGTTTACCGAATGGCAACTAGCGGGGATCGTTTGGGAGGTCAGGCAGGCTAGCAGAGACCATTTGGGAACGGGATCGCTAGATTGGCCGGCAGTTTACGCAATGAAAACTAGCAGAGACCATTTTGGAAAACCCTAAAAATTTCAGATACGGTAGTTTGGGTGTCAGATAAGCGACTAGTTACTTTAGAACCCAAAACAGCCTCTGATTTCGACCGTGATGGTTGGTCCAAAAAGTCGGCTTCTGGGGGAGGGTAAATGTTTTCAGGCCCGGAAATTTAGGGTTAATGAAACTCTGGGGCCCGAGGGGGCACCGTAAAGCTCCGGAAAACAGTAGGGATGAACGGGAAATGAATCTCGGCATTGCGTCTCAAGAGGGGGCAGCCAGTTTGTGCCCCCTAAGGGCATCAAAAAGGCCCGAAAAAGGCCCAGGGGGGCAGATCAAGCGGAAATAGCGCCCCCCCAGACTTTTTAACCCACACAAACCCGCCGCTACGCCCCCACAAATGGAATGTACGAGTAGAGGGGACGGCAGAAAGGTTATTTCAAAAATTTGAGACTCCCAAATGACCTCTGCTAGCCTGCCCGGCAATTTTTAGAGAAAAATTGGGTCGCAATTCATGTTTTTCGGGGCCAAATTTTTAGGCAGGCTAGCAGAGGTGATTTGGGAACCGGAAGCGGCTAAACTGACAACCAGATAAAGTTATCTAAAAAAATTCATACTCCTAAATGACCTCTGCTAGCTTGCCCGGCCTTTTTTCTTTCGAGCAAAATCGAGCCGAAATTCACGTTTTTATGGGATAGAGGGATTTGGGCAAGCTAGCAGAGACCATTTGGGAATAGAGCGGCGCTAAACTGCCCGGCAAGCCAGCCGAAACCCTTAAGGAATCGTCATTTTATCATCACCCGGGCCAGCTAGCAGCGGGCGTTTGCGGAAAGAGGTCGCGCGGCGCGTCCGGCCTCCGGAGTCCACCGAAACGAATTTTGGGCGGCGAAAAGTCTCGGAAAAATGAAGGGCTTTTGGTTGTGTGATCCGGGAGGCATCCCAGGGGACCATTCACACACAAACGTCTAGAGGTTGATGGCTTCTGCGCGAAAAGATTTCACACGGCTCACCGCCGAGATATTTCACGTCTAAATGGACCGTCATTCTGAAGCCATTCCCCAAAGCGTCTCTGCTAGTTCACCAATCGGCAATCTGACAACCAGCTAGACTATTCCGATTGGCCAAAATGTCTCTGCTAGCTTGCCCGAAAAGCTATAGTCAAAAATGTCATTTTTGACCCGATTTTGCCCCAAAAAATTTGAGCGGACTAGCAAAGACCATTTCCAACTTCCCGGTTTTCGATATATCTTTCTCTGGTTGTCAGTTTAGCTGATTCCGATTCCAAAACGGTCTCTGCTAGCTTGCCCGGGAAGCTTTAGTCAAAAAACGCTCGTTATCGCCCCCATTTTGCACAAAAGTTATGGGTAGGCTAGCAGAGACCATTTGGGCAACTGTAAGTTTTGAACTAACTTTTACTGGCAGTCAGTTTAGCTGATTCCAATTCCAGAATGGTCTCTGCTAGCCAGAACGCTGTTGATCAAGTTGTTGTGCTGACGTGTCGAGGAGTGACGCGTAGCTTTGCGCTGTTTCGTGGCTGCCGCGTCCGAGGATTCGTCGAAATTGAAGTTCAGCTGGGGGGCAAAGAGGGGAGAGGCTCAAATGAGAACGGGAGGATGAGACACGGCTTCAAGAGGCGGGCAGGCTAGCAGCGACCATGTAGGAAGCACCATAGCAAGACCGGCGGCCAGTTTAACCCATGGCAACTAGCAGCGCTTCTTTGGGAATTCCGGGCAGAGCAGAGACAATTTAGAAAACGAGATTCTCTCGACTGACTGGCAGTTTAGAGAATGACAACTAGCAGAGATTCTTTGGGAATTCCGGGCAGCTAGCAGAGACCGTTTAAGAAAGCGGATAGCAAGACCGGCTGACAGTTTAGCGGGTGACAACCAGCAAAGACCATTTCCGAAGGCAGGGAAGGCTAGCCGGGGTTATTTCGGAAAGCGGACCGCTAGACTAGCTGCCAGATAAGCCGATGGCAATCAGCAGCGATGGTTTGGGATTCGATTACGCCATGAAATTCGGGGGGATGAAGAACGCACTTTCTGAAAAAGCACCGTAGTCCTCGGGGCGTTGTTGCGAGCAAAACACAATGGAGCGAGAGAGGGCGAGAGAAAGAGAGAGAGAGAGAGAGAGAGAGGAGAGAGAGAGAGAGAGCTGAAAATAGGCTTTTGGCGGAGTTGCCGGGTCCCGGCACCATGGCCCATCACCATAAGTGGGCCCTGGCAATATAGCCTGTGAGAGGGCATTTGGGAGGCGAGAGAGAAAGTGAGAGAGAGAGAGAGAGAGAGTGGGAAAGAGAGATAGAGCCAGAGAGAGAGAGAGAGAGAGGGAGAGAGAGAGAGAGAGAGAGACAGGCCTCTTCTGGGTAATTGAAAGTCCACCCGCTTCCCCCCTTTTTCCATTTCCAACCCATTTTTCCGAAATATACTACTCGACCTTGCCCCCTTCTGGGACCCCCCTGGAAAACGGACGAAAACTAGTTAGCTGGGGGGATCAGACAACCATCCAATGGATTAGAGGGCAACCAGCAGAGACCATTTGAGGAATTATCTGGCTGGAAGCAAGCTAGCAGAGTCCGATTGCGGAATTCTTGGGCCAAGGCAGGCTAGCAGGGACCATTTGGGGAATTTTCAGGCAGAGGCGCACCGGTAGAGACCATTTGGGAAATTATCTCACGCGGGAGCAAGCTAGCAAAGACCATTTGAGGAATTGACATGTTGAGGCAGGCTAGCAGAGACCCTTTGGGAAAAAGCCCGAAACTTGGCGAACTTGCAGAGAGAATTTTGGGGATTTTCAGCCTGAGGCAGGGTAGCAGAGATCCTTTCGGAAAATCGGCAAAACTCGGCGAACTTGTGAATTTTTGGGCAGCAGGAAGCCAGCGGAGACCATCTGGGAAATTCTGAGGCGGGAAGCAAGCCAGCAGAGAGCATTTGAGGAATTCCCAGGCAAAGACAGGCCAGGAGAGACCGTTTGCGGGAATTTCCAGCCTGCGGCAGGCTAGCAGAGACCATTTGCAACGCCTGAAACCCCAAAAACAATCGCGTAATCTGTAGCCGGAAGGGTGAGACAAAGAATTCCGGCCGAAACGTTTATTCACAGCCGATCGGCGGCGATAAATTAATTGTTCGGAAAGTTCGACGGAAATTAATCATATATTCAGGGTAAATTTAATCTTTAAAAACTCAGAAATGACAAGCCAAAATCACGTATTATCGCCAAAATCGATCACAACGGAGTGGGAGGGGAAAGAATTGAAGAAATAAGATTCTACACCACAGATATTCGAGATCCAAAAAGGCTTTTCCGTTTTTGTTTTTAATTGGCGAAGGCGTTTGGCCACCATTTCTTCTGGGCGGACCAGCATTTCTCCAGATCTTCGATGGCATCAATCGAGTAGCGATCGACGAACGACTCGACGACGCCCTCCACCGTCTCCGCGTAGCTCTTCAGGGACACCTCTGCGAAAAAAACGCGGATTATTCAGATTAAAGGCAAAAAGAAAAATACGTTTTTCTATCAAAAGACCTCAAAATGAAAAAAAATAGGTGCTTTTGCATTATCGGGGGGCGCACCTTTTTTTGTAAAACCCTATAAATCCCTAGTAACTTAATAGCAAGCATTTAAATTATTTTTTTGGTAGCATAAAACTAAATTTCAACCTGGAAAACCATCTAAAAACTTTCAAAAACGCTTCAAAAAGTCGAAATTTTGACCAAAATTTTTGGTCGATAATCGATATTTTTTTGTACAAAAATTTGTAAGGTTTTTGCGTTAAGGAACAGCACAAAACAAGTTTATTTCTTCTTATTCCTTATTCTAAGAAAAAAGTTATTTCCTCCCCCACCCCCGATAAAGCAAAAGAACCAAAAAATGAAACTTCAAAAGACGCTAAAATGTCAAAAAGCAAAAATTTTGCCGCGGCGGGGGATCGAACCCGGGTCGTGCGAATGATAAATTGCAGCCGGTTCTATAGTTTGGTCTCCAATTTGGTGATTCTCCTCCAAATTCTGGCCGAAATTTCAAAAAGCAAAAATTTTGCCGCGGCCATTTATACTTGTAGCCTGTAGTCTAGACCCCATTAGGCTTCAAAAAATATTTTTACTTTTCAAAAAAAATATTTTTACAAAAATTAGCTTCAAATTTTCAAAAAGCCAAAAAAAATTGCCGCGGCCGGGGGTCGAACCCGACCCGCTTGCCGGCAGCCGGTCCCTTTAAATCGAAAAAAAAACCCCATGAAAAGAAACGTACTTCCGTCGGGGCCCAGGATGGTGTTCGGCTGGACAAATTGGCGGCGTGGCTTCCGGCGGGCGATGCACACATCCCTCCACGCCAACTCGACGTCCCCAATCTTGCCGTAGTGGTCGAACAGCGCCTTGCCCCCCGCGAAGTCGGCCGTCGATTTGTAGTGCTGCAAAAATGGGGGTTCTTGTGAATTAGCAGGGGGGGTCAAAACGAATTTTCCAAATTTCCGAAATACCGAAATCTAAATGTAAAAGCCAAAAAGCGTGTAAAATGTATCTCATCCCCGAAATGTATCGAAACTGCTGCAAAAATGCGGGGTCTTGTGCATTAGCGGGGGGGTAAAAACGAATTTTCGAAATTCCCGAATTTTTTCACTCGATTTTCGGCATTTTTTTTACAAAAATTTTCCCTGTGATTCTCTACGGCCATATAACAAAATATAAATCATTTTACAGCATTTTACATAGGTTTTAGATATAAAAATAATCAAAATTTTCGAAAATTGTCGACTTTTTGGCCAAAAACGTCTGAAAAATGACCAAAAAACGTCAAATTTTCGAATTTTGTAAAATTAAAAAATTGTTTATAATTTTCTGTGGTCCCCCCGCTAACAGATAAGAACCCCGAATACTCCAAAAAATCCGATACCTGCAATTTTTTGAGGAATTCGCGGACGGCCGGCTTGCCGACGCTGTCGATCTTCGTGCGGTCCAGCTTGAACTTGAGGTCGGGCTTCCCGTCCGGTCCAGTCTGAAATAACCGGGGATAATTAGCAGAGATTCCTTGAGATTAAAGGGGGCGTGACCGGAAACAAAGCGGTTAAAAACCGGATTTTTCACAAAATTCAGGCTAGCTATCAGAGATCCCTTAGGACTAAAGGAAGTGTGACAGGGAGAAAATGGGCTAAACTAGAGGCTAGCTAGCAGAGATTATTTAGGACTAAAGGGGGCGTGATAGAGCGAAAATGGGCTAAAAACAGGGGCAAGCTAACAGAAATGCTTGGGATTAAAGGGGGCGTGACCGGGAAGAAATCGATAAAAATAGAGGCAAGCTAGCCGAGATTATTCAGGTTTAAAGGGGGTGTGACAGGGAGAAAACGGAGCTAAAGATAGAGGCAAGCTAGCAGAGATTATTTAGGACTAAAGGGAGCGTGACAGGGAGAAAATGGGCTAAAAACAGAGGCAAGCTAGCGGAGCGGCTTTTTTCAAAATTTAGGCAAGCTAGCAGAGGCTATTTCGGACTAAAGGGGCCGGGACAGCCAGTAATTGATCAAATTCCAGGCCATCTAGCGGGGATCGCCCAGGAAAGTAAGCCAAGCCAAAAAAAACGTACAATCGACTCGATGACGACGAATCCCTGGCCGGCCTCGAGGCAGACTTGCGTCAGCACGTAGCGGGCGTGGCAGTGTGCCTGTAAAGAGGTGTATTTCGTAGTCAAAAACCGAGAGCATACCTGTCCCCATTTCTTCTGATCCGCATTGTAGAATTCCAGGGCCATCAGCCCGGCCCGAATTTCGGACAGCCAGTTCACATATTTCACCTGCTGCCCGAGTTCGCCCTCGTAGCCGAAGATTCTGGAAAATTAAACTCATGAACAGCCTAAATTAATTAAACAAAAAATCAATTTAAAATCTCATTAATTAAATTGTTATAATTAAACGAATTAACCTAACAAATAATGGGTTTTCCCCTCCAAATTTTTCCTAAAAATCCCGAAATAACCACCGCTAGCCCGCCAGATCGATCGGCAACAATGCCGCAAAAATCACTGCAAGATTGCCCGAAATGACACCGCGACAATTTCCTAAATAACCACAGCTAGCCTGCTCAAATTCTCGAAAATTCCTCAAAAATCACCGCTAGCCCGCCGATTCCTCAAAAATCACCGCTAGATTGCCCAAGACGACGCTGGGGAAATTTACTAAATAACCACCGCTAATCTGCCCAAATTCCCGAAATTCCAAAACGGCAAATTCCGAAATTCTCAAATGGTCATCGCTGGTTTGCCGGAAAAATCGGAATTTTCCACAAGAATCCCTGCTAGTTGCCCCAAAAAACGACCAACTTGAGGATGTCCTCGTCGCAGCAGAGGACATAGCCGACAGCTTCCGCACGGCATTCCTCGTAGGCGCCGGAAAGCGCGCCGAATTTGCTGCCCCACGTCTCGCCCGGCTCGTACCACGTAGAGATCTGGAAATCGGGGAAAATAATGGGAAAGAAACAATAAATAAAACTACATTAAAAATGTCTTAATAAAAATAAGACACTGACCTTGGCGCCGTCGAGCACGCTGACGGTAGCTGACGTGTCAAAGTTGAAGGAGCCGTCGGGCTTGCGTTGGAAGAGCTTGCCGCTGCCATGGCCAAGAAGTTCGTGGAGGCCGACCTGGAAATGTCAAATAATATCTGCTAGCCTGCCCCTCACTCTATCATCTCTCTCTCTCTCTCGTTCTTGCTCTCTCTCTCTCTCTCTCTCTCTCTCTCGTTCTTGCTCTCTCTCTCTCTCTCTCGCTCGCTCGCTCTCTCTTCCTCAAAAAATCACTGCCGCTCACCTGGACCTCGAAAGAGTCCTTGTGATACTTGAACATCAGATCCTCATCCCCTTCATCAAGAAAGTTCATCTTCTGCTTGGGCGTGGCCGAGATGACGTTGCCGAGAGAGACATTCTTGAAGCCCTCGTCCTGGCGGATGTCGTCATCTGAAAAATAATCGACGTCAACAGCCGGAAGGGCCAAAACTTACAATTGGGGATGTTGATGCCGGCGGGGATGCCGCTAGAGCCGAAGGCGATCACGTCGAGACCCGTGAAATCGGGGCGGAGGAAACTGGAAAAAGACAAATTTCTGATGGTGAGAGAGGAGAGAGAGAGAAAGAGAGTGAGGAAAGAGAAAGAAAGAGAGAGAGTGAGGGAATGAGAGAGAGAAACAGAGAGCGAGAGATAAAGAGAAATAGAGAGAGCGAAAGAGAGTGAGAGAGAGGGAGATAGATGGAGAGAAACAGAGAGAGAGAGAGAGCGAGAGATAAAGAGAGAGAGAGCGACAGAGAGGGAGATAGATGGAGAGAAACAGAGAGAGAGAGCGAGCGAGAGACAGAGTGAGGGAGAGCGAGAGAGAGAGAGCGAAAGGGAGAAATCGAGCGAGAGCGAGAGAGAGAGCGTTAGAGAAAGAAAGAGCGAGACCGCAAGAGAACCCCAATACGCACCGATCCTTCTCGTAGGCCTTTCCCCAGGGCATCCGCTCGAGAATCTTTTCGGCCTGGTCGACGAGCGCCTTGAACTTCTTGGACGTCTCCTTGTTGACGGCGGCGACGAATCCCTCGAATTCGGAGCGAGTGCCGGCCGGGTCACGGTAGTTCTCGATGAAGCCGATGTACGACTCGACGGCCGGGTTGACGTCTTTGATCCATTGGCGGGAACCGTCCTGGAATTGATACCTTAACGGGGGGGGGCAAGTAAAAAAACAGCTAAAGTGCTAAATCACGTGCTAAAAATCGAGAGAGTGAGAGAGAGAGAGAGAGAGAGAGAGAGAGAGAGAGAGGAAGAGAGAGGGCGAGAGAGAGAGAGAGAGAGAGAGAGAGGAAGAGAGAGGGCGAGAGAGAGAGAAAGTGAGATATAGAGAAAAAGAGAGAGAGAGAGAGAGAGAGAGAGGAAGAGAGAGGGCGAGAGAGAGAGAAAGTGAGATATAGAGAAAAAAGAGCGAGAGCGAGAGAGTAAGAGAGAGAGAGAGAGAGAGAGAGAGAGAGAGAGAGAGAGAGAGACGGACATGCCCACCTTGTGATCGTCGAGGGCTCCGCGGGTAAAATGCGCCACGTACTTGGCCAACATCTGGCGTTGCGTGTCGTTGGCCGCCGCTTCGCTCGCCTGAAAAAACGGATTTAAACTTTAAAGGGACCGGCAAGGGGGATTTATTTTTCGACAAAATAAATCCCCCAAATTGAATTTCGAAAAGAAAAATCCCGACAAAATGATTTTCGACAAAATAAATCCCCCAAAAATGATTTTCGAAAATAAAAATCGGACAAAATGATTTTCGAGGCAATAAACATCGACAAACCCATTTTCGACAAAAAAAATCCCGACAAGACAAATTTAAATTTCGACAAGCTGAAAATCAGCCAGCAAATCCACAGCCCCGATTCCTTGCCAGCCACTTCAAAAAGGCGGACGAACCTTTTTGAGATGGGGCACGATGCGGGCCATCACTTGTGAGTAGTCGCCGCGCTCGAATTTGACGATGGCCCCCTCGAACTCGACCTCCTCCAACCCATTGCCATCTGGAAAAAAATTGCTTGAGCAGGGTTTTCGCCAGGGAAATCCAGGAAAACACGCAAAAACCGACCAGTTTCGGCGCTGGCGACGACGACCCGGTACACCGTTTTCCCGTCACGCTGCTGGCTGTCCTGAAAAAAAAATGAAAATTCCAGCCGAATACCGGTGAAAGGTTGATCAGCATTGGCCACGCTCCCTTTCCCCAAGAATCCCTGCTAGGCACCCCCATTTTCCACAAAAATCGCTGCTAGGCACCCCAATTTCCTCAATAATCCCTGCTAGGCACCCCCAATTCCTCAAAAATCACTGCTCTTTAATTCCCCAATAATTCTTGCTAAATACCCCAATTTACTCAAAAATCGCTGCTAGGCACCCCCTTCCCCAGGAATCACTGCTAGGCACCCCATTTTCCCCAATAATCCCTGCTAAACACTCCCTTTTTCTCAAGAATCTCTGCTAGACATCTCATTTTCCACAAGAAGCCCTGCTCGGCACCCATTTTCCTCAAAAATCCCCGCTAGGCGCCCCGATTTCCTCAATAATCTAAAGAAGATTCTCCAATTTTCCTAAAGAAGCGCTGTTAGGCACCATTTCCCTCAAGAATCCCTGCTAGGCTCCCGTTTTCCTCAAAAATCCCTGCCTGATACCCCATTTTCCTAAAGAATCCCTGCTCGCCACCCATTTTCCTCAAAAATCCCCGCTAGCCAGCCCTTCACTTCCCCAAGAACCTCTGCCGGTTGTTGTTGTTGTTACCTTAAAAAGGCGAGTGTTCCACGTCTCAAAGTTGCGCGCCTTCAGGCAGCGGTCGACGAGGTCGGCGTCGTGCTTGGTGATGTTCTCGCTGTGGTACGTGGTGACGCCCTGCAATTTTCTCGAGTTTTTCACGTAGATTCGACACACAAAAAAGTTTATTTACCAAAAAACTTGAAAATTAAAAGTTTAATAAAACCGTAAAAATTTCGAAAAGCCTAAAAGCCTAACGTTCTTGGCTATTTTTGGGTTGGTTTTCGACAAAAATAAACGTGAAAAAAATTTAGATTTCGACGATTTTTTTCGGGGGCTAAAAAGGCGCGTAAAATTCTAGAAAAACCGTTTATAAACCACTTTTTCCAAGGATCTAATTTATTGAAATATAAATAGGGAAGTGTTTCTCAACTTTACAAATTTTCGACTTAATTATCATTCAATAATAAATTAAATTTTAACTAATTTTTTAATAGATTTAATTCTATTTTTATTCTCACAAAATATGATTAAAAATTAATTGAAAATTGAAAAATTTAATTTAAAAATTAAAATATCACAAAAATTGATTTTTGACCAAAAAGTCGGCGTTTTTAATATAAAACCCTTGTTTTAATTTTTAGATAATTTTTCAGTAGAAATTTAGCTATATCTTCCTAAAAACACTATTAAAAGAGTTCTATCAAGTTACTAGGGACTTCAAGACTTAAACAAACAATCTCCCCCGATAATGCGAAAGAACCGGATGATAGTCGGAACCTCGAAATTTCTGAATCTCGAATTCTCAAAATCTCGAATTTTCAAAATCTCGAATTTTCAAAATCTCGAATTTTTAGAATCTCGAAATTCCCATGGTTCAAATCAGCAATAAAGGTTCCGAAAATCGCTCGCCTACGCCCTGAATTCAGCATTGGCATATTTCGAGATTTCAAAAATTCGAGATTCTGAAAATTCGAGAGTATAAAAATTCGATATTCTGATAGGTATTCGAAAGAACCAATTGCGATATTTTTGGAAATCGGCCAAAATCACAAAAAAAAGCTTTCGCTACCCCTGGGGCGAATCCGAGCTGCAGCTGGCTGGGCTCGAGGGAGCAGATCAGCGGCCCGACGGCCTTCCAGACGTCGCGCAGACCCGGGTAAATGGTGGCGGCGGCCGAGGCGTCGATCAGCTTGTTCAGCTTCTCCTGCAAAACAAGGGCTGTACAATTACGGGTGACGTTTGACAGCCAAACCCGGAAAAATGGAGGGAAATTCACAATTTTTTTGATGCGAATGGCGCGATGGATGCCAGGTTTTTTGCATTCAGGCTACAAATTATAGCCCAGAGAACGCTAAAAAAATTGGAAGAATTGGGCGGAATCTGTCGCCTAAAAAACAAGTTTAACAGTCGTGCCTAAAAGCCTAAAAAAGACTGGACTAGCCTAAAAATGCATTTAGCTGTAGTTTGTAGCCTAGAAAAAAGACTGGGCTAATTTTTAGCCTAAAAACGCATTTAGCCGTAGTTTGTAGCCTAGAAAAAAGATTTGGCAGCAGTTTCGAGCCTAGAAACGAGATTCAGACGTAGTAGTTGAAAAAGCCTAGATAGAGCAGAAGAAAAAAAGCCGAGCTGTACATTTGTAGCCTAGAAGAAAAATACTGGGCTAATTTGCAACCTCTAAAAACAAATTTAGCTGTAGTTTGTAGGCTAGAAAAAGATTGGGCTAAAGTTTTAGCCTAAAAACGCATTTAGCTGTCGTTTGTAGTCTAGAAAAAAAAGATTTGGCAGTAGGTTCGAGCCTAGAAACGAGAAAGAAACGTAGTTTGCAGTTGACAACGCCTAGAGCCTGAAACGAGGGCCGAAAAAACCGACCACGTCGACGCCGGGCACGAATTTGCTGTCGCCGAAGCCCTTGTAGTTGCCGGAATTGTTGTGCAGCCCGGCGGCGTAGACGAGGAACGACTGCCACTCTTCTGCCGACCATCCGTTTGCCTAAAAACACCGAAAAATCCGTGGGTTCTTGCGCAAAATCAAGGGGGATAAACTTTTCTCCTCAGGACCCCGAGTTTTTTAATAAAAATCCAATTTCTGATTATTGCTGGTACGCCGTGGTTCATTTTTCCGAAAGATAAAACCGCCGCAATGTTTTAATTATGCATACGAAGATAAAAAAATAGATTTCTTGCCCAAAATGGCCAATTCTCGCCCAAAATAAAGAATTTTCTGAAACTTTTTGAAGTTTTCTAGTCCAAAAACTCTCACAGAGCGCATCCTATAACGTCACTATGACCAAAAAGGTGCCCCGCTGCCGATTTGGCGCGAGAACCCGAGAATCGACGCTTACCAGAGCCTTCTCCTTGAGGGCGGACAACGGCTCGCCGGCGAACAGTCGGTACAACACCACGAAGATGCCGGCCGCCTCGGGGGACACCTGGAAAAAGTGTTCAACGAAAATTTCGACGCAAAATACCTGCAGATACACGGCGAGCGAGCCCTCGAACGATGCCCTGGCGATGTGGTGGGCGTACAGCTTCTCCTGGTCGCTGAGCGCTGAAAAAAAAAACGCAAATATGCTTCAAAAACGGAAAACTTACAGGCGAACGAGTCGCGGCAGTCGAGCAGCACGACCGGCGTGTCGTTGGGCAGCACGTGCAGCGAGCGGTCGATTTGAGGGCTCATTCGGCTGCAAAAATGGTTGAAAATGGCCGTGAAAACATGGAAAAATTGAAGAAAAGGCATGGATATGTCCGAAAAAAGCAGTAACTAATCGCGAAACGAAACGACCCACATATGCGACGATAGCAAGCGAATCTGACGCGGCACAGCGGCGGCAACAAGCCCTATTCTACGCGGCGCCAATCTGAGCAAATGCCTCGCGTGCAACATCCTACAAAAAATGATGAGTTTCTGTGTGTGAAAATCGACGGCAGAAGCAAGGTAGAGATCGAAAAAAAAGCTAGGAATTGGCAATAGAGACAGTTTCGCATCTGAAACGCGGCAGGAAGAGGAAAACGCTCTTGTTCCGCAAGCGCTTACCTGGGCTGAAGCCCGGAAACGGGCGGAAAGCTAGCGAAAAACCCTTTGCAGCCCACTTCGGCGAAGGGATCTAGGGTTATAGCGCGTTTTCAACCATTTTCATACACGTTAGACCGAAAAAAGCAAAAATTTAGACATGTTTTATGACATTTTCGTAATTTCTCCTCCCCCGCTAACAGTCCAGGACCAATTTTGGACCAATTCAAGTCAAGTACAGGTCTATAAAAACGACCAGCTTTTAATTAGTCGACCCGCACGATTTTATGAAAAAAAAAACAGTTCCCAACCGCCCCCCGATAACCTGGAAACACCTAGAAAGCTTCTTCTAAATCCAAATGGACACCTTCGGGGTCACGAAATCCACGAAAGAACGCTGTTCTATTTTTTTGTCAGCAGCGACACGGGCGGCCAAAGGACAGAGCGCGCCGCTTTGAATTGTGGGGGGTTTCGAGGGTAAGGGGAGCTTGGCACGCCCCGAAATCTTGGCGGTCTAAGGGCTAGGCAACGCGGCGCTCCTATCGACTCAAAAATGTATGGGTCTAAAACTTTGGAGGCTTATGTCTTGAAAGATATGGCCTATCTTAAAAAACGCGAATTCCAGCCTTGTAGAAGGGAACATGGCGATTCTAATGATACTAAGCACTAACAAAACTGAATTTAGAAAGTATGCTAACGAAGGCGGTTTTTGTTGACGGCTTTGTGAAAAGTGGTATTTCGGAGGGCTAACTGGATGTCTTTGGTATCATTCGAACCGTAAAATTTTACTCTGCAATAATTAATATTGGCTTTTCAATATTAAGTCGGTTTGGAAAGGTTATAAGAGCTTAAGCTTTTTGGCGCCCGCTACGTTCCGCTCCAATTGACGCGTTTGCCCCTCCCGGCAAATTGCCGTTTTTGGCCTGTTGGATTGGTCGTGTTGGAACGATTCGGCTAAAATGACACCAGTAATTGCCAATTTAGGTAAAGTAAGTCAACCTTCCTGATGGCTTAAAAGGCCGTCCGCCAGCTACCCGACCTGCCCCCGTTATGGCTTGGCACAGTTTTTTCGACCCCATTTTTTGATGCCATCGGAAAGAGCATGTTCGAATTAGTAGGGCTGCATAGTTTTGAAATTTCAAAAAGTTTATTTTTATGGTTTAAATGGGTGTTAAAGTTGCCGACCACGAAAAACTATCTTGGAAGTTACTGAATAGAATTGGCTGAAACTTTCAGAATACACCTATTTCGGGACGGGGATCATTTCTCTAATACACTGCGAAGCCTGAAAATGACCGGAACATGGTTAAATAGCGGACTAGAAACAGCTTTTCGGGATTTTTGACTATGCGGGCGATCGAGTGCCACTCACACGTGGTAGGAAAAGATGCGCGACATTTTTCTGCGTCGAATGAGGTGTCCATTATGCGGCGCTCGGTCGCCCGCATATCTTAAAAAACGCGATTATTACGCCGAAAATGGTGATTTTTAGTCGAAATCTGGGGTGGGTACGGTGAGAGAGTGCGGCGAGCGCAGAGGACAGAGACGGCTAGGGTGGTCAAGTTGGGGGCTCTCTGGCAGAACCCGACCCGCTCCCCCAGGGCTGCTGTCTACCTGTCTGGACCCTCCACGTCGCGCGCACTCTCTCGCCTGTTTGGCCTCCGAAAACCCGCAACCAGTGCAAACTTCACTTTTTTGGCCTATAGAAAAGGGCAGGGTTGCCCTGAAATATCTCGCGAACGGAAACGTAAACTCGTAAAAAACAACTTGTGTTATTTCTTCATGCCCAGCATATTTAAGCATTCTGGCAAGGTAATCATGGTCCGATTCGTTCCGGTAGCGAGAAAATATTGACAATATTGACTTGGTTAGAGAGCATTGATGGAAGCATTGGATTGAATTGAATTGCTTTTATGTGATGCTTAACAACGGAATTAACTGAGAAGTGTAGATGACCATTTCAGCCGGATAACGCCCACATTCTTGTTTCGTCCCTCATAATTGAGGGCCCACGGGACCTGAAAGGTTGCTTGTAATATAGCCGCGAATACAGCGTTTCGGCCGGTACAATTCGGATAAGCGGGGGAATTTTTAGGCGGGGGAAACCAACTTTTTTTTTTGTCGGCCCTGGTGGGGATAGTAATCAAATATAAAGTGTTTTCACATTGTTTTTAGCAAAATTTAAGCCTATCTGAATCGGAAAACTTTTTAAAAACTTAGAAAAACGCTTGAAAAAGTCGAACATTTGCTCATTTTTGGGCCGAAAAAATTGATTTTTAGACCTAAAATTAAATTTTTTAATTAAGTTTTGTAAAGTTTTTATGTTTAGGAATAGCTATAAACAATTTAGAAACACTTCCACTATTTATATAAAAAATAGAGGCTCGGGCGGAAAAAAGTTCGGTTTCCCCCCCCGCCTAAAATTTCCCCCGCCGCTTATCCGAATTGTACCTTTCGGCCGATCCGAATTGCCATGTCTGTGAAAAAGCCATTGTCAGCGGTTCCCTGTTTTGGTAGCGTAACCAAACGAGAGTTTCATTGTTTTGAGAGAAGAGGCTCCCACGAAAACCTTATGAAAAACGCATTATAAATCTTTTTTTTTTTTGCTGTATCTCCAAAATTACTGTAGCGATCGGGCTATAACTACGGATTGGTGTTATTTGGGGTCTCATACACCCTTGATCCAATTTAGCGACCGATCAGATGTATCACGGTGAAATGCTGGAGGGGAGCTTTTTGGGGCACCCTGTAGCACGGCTCCCCGACATTTGCGCAAATGGTCGGGGCGCAAATGTCGTGGCACCCTGTAGCACACTCTCAAATCGCCAGCATCTTCCATTTCCGCGTGTGGTTTCGAAAAATTTGATGAAATTACAGGGTGTCCCAGAAAAATCCCCCCCCCCCCCCTAGCCGGCTGCAGACGTGCGCGGATTTTTACGATTTAGGTATCTATCAAAAGCTCTCGGAAAGGCGAGTCCAGCACGTCTTGCCGATTTTCGAAATGTCGCAATTTTTTGCTCGATTTTCGGCATTTCCCATGCCAAAAGGACAGGCTTTTTTGTTCAAAACGCAATATAACCGGTTTAAGCGCTATCCAAGCTGTGTTTTGGCAAAAAATTGTCGTTGGGTTGCCGAGAAAGGCTTAAAAATTCTTAAATTGCGATTTTTGTAAAAAACTCCCCTGGTCAGAAAAACGTCAGAAAATCCGCCCGTTTTGCAAAAACGTTAGTAACTGATAGAAAAATGTCAAACTTAAGCAAATCGGAGAGACGTGCTGGACTCGCCTTTCCGAGAGCTTTCGATAGATGCCTAAATCCTAAAATCGGACAGGTCTGCGACCATCTAGGGGGGGTTTGGGGACACCCTGTATTATCAAGGCTGATAGAACGGGCGGCGGGTGGCGGGAGTGAACCCGCAACCTCCTGGGCCAGTGAGCTACGCCTCACGCCACACCGAGCACCATTGAGCGCCTTGAGCCGGCCAGGGAAGAGGAACAGGATGACTGTTTGACACCATGACGCCCAGCCTATCTCCGGGGACTCTGCCGGACATTTTAAAGGGCATCCTCTCCTTCCCTGGCACCTCATTCCGACATGCACGACTCGTGGGCAAAAAAAGGCCTAGGCGCGCCTTATCCGCGCACCATCGCATCTCATCCTGTGACCGGAAACGAGGAGAATTTGGTATTATTGAGAAAAAAGTGGTTTTTTTTTGTGTGGTGATGATTCTCCTTTTTCGATGAGAGTAAGATAATTTGACCGACCGTGTTGACTACATGACATTCCGACCGGTAGTTTTGAGCGATGATCACGTTGATACCCGTCGGATAAGCCATGTCAAAATAATCTGCCCCCCTTTGTATCCCGGGGTTCATCTCCATTTGGTAGAGCTGGAAACGGAATGGATAGACTTTGCTAGATTGCCTAGATTTTTCTCTGGCTCTCTCTCTCTCCTTTTCTCTCTCTCTCTCTCTCACTCTCTCTCTATCGCTCTCTCGCTCTCTCACTCTCTCTCTCTATCGCTCTCTCTCACTCTCTCGCTCTCTCTCTCCGACCTGAATACTCTCTGTTCTCTCGCTTCCCTCCATCCATTCAATCAAATGCTTCATCATAGCCTTATAGCCATCAGTCATTTCCTTCAGTGTCTCCTGAAATGGGGGCAGACTGGCAAAGACCATTCGCGGCATGGTAATTCGACTAATTGGCAGACAAATAGAGCGATGGACCCATAAATATAACAAGACACACTAGCAGAGCACTTTTATTGGTCGGTATACCTGCTGAAGTTGTTGAGTTGTGCAGATATCGAGAATGACGAGTCGACGTCCCTCGCGCTGAGGAATTGCCTGTATAAAATAGAAAATATTTTTAGACAGCAATGAGTTACGGATAGGATGATGTGATGGATGAATTGTTGGAGGAAGTGGAGAGAACGGAGACAATCTGTCTCTTTCTCATAGAAATGAGAGAAACGGAGGAGGGGACAGTCGATTAGCTGAAAAGGGACGATGGAATGGCGAGAGGAGAGAGAGAGAGACAGACAGAGAGAGAGGGAGAGAGGGAGAGAGAGGGAGAGAGAGGGAGAGAGAGGGAGAGAGAGGGAGAGAGAGGAAGAGAGGCAGAGAGAGGGGAGAGAGGAGAGAGAGGAGAGAGGAGAGTGCGAGAGAAAACCTTTATGAATGCATCCGTGTAGACATCTAAATAATCTTCTGGAGCCAATTTGATGACGGAGAGAAGAGCCTTCAATGGGTCGATTATGTTGATTGGATTGATCCTCTCCCAACAGCGAGAAATCATGTCTGTTTCCCGTAACGGCGATTTCTCGGCCGTCACGCCGAATTTCTGGCTGATTTTGGCGTGGAGGTGAATTTTTTG